GATACGATCCTGTCGACATCGCTCGACATTGACCTATCCATGACGATCGATGAAGGCGACTCACCATCGATCGATACGAATTCCGGTCAGGTATATTGTTTACAATTTTCGATATCAGTTATACATTATTTATTTATGCCCTAACTCCGACTAGTTATACACTGAGGATAGTGTATGATTTAAGTCTGGGGGAGTGGAGATTACTGATGCTACTTTACCTTTTGATCTCATTAAATGTTTTCAAAATTGACTTTATTAAGTCAAGAAGAGGACACAATTTTTTACTTTTTATCTAACCATTCTTTAGCACCATTCTTAGAATTGTTTACTGCAGAAAATACTATAGATGCTAAAGTGGATCACCGGTCACCTATGACAACACTTTTCATGATTGTTAGGAAGAACCAAAGCTGATTTCCAACCTAACCTGACATCTATTGCTTGTCTTGGGGCTTGGTATACAAGGGATCGGAATCCTCCTGCAAGTCTGGAAGGTATAAGTCTTGATAATTTTGGTTTCCTTCTCTCCTTCCTTTGGCATCCCAAAAAGAGAAAAATAAAAGATTGAGATGATTTCCTGAGAGGTAGAGGGAGAGGTACATTACCCATGACCCCACTATTCTAATTCAAAGGAATGATCACACATTGTGGAAGCGAGGGAGAGGTACATTACCCATGACCCCACTATTTGCCTACACTTTGTCAGAAAAGCTACAAAAAGTAGAAAGATCAATAAGATGATTATTTGTTGTTCATTAGGATTGATATAAAAGAAAAAGAAAAATTTGGGATTCAGAGAAGGGAGATATAGGGAGAAAAGAAACCAGAACGAGAATGCCTGAAACTTGCTTGAGTTGAATCCAAGTGTTCCTTGATCGATACTCCCAAGGTAAAGCCTACACTTTTATTTTATGCATAAATGAAATCAGTAGAGGGGATAGACAAACATCATTGCTAAGTTGATTGGCTAGATGAATTTGGTTGCTAAGCTAGGATATGGTATAATATACTTGTTGGGGTCAAAATCGGTACGACGGAATCAATAGCCAAAATTCTCCGCAAACGCGTAAACGCAACAGTTTTATGAATCTCGAGAATCATTTTATAAAACTCGAAGATCGTTTTATAAAACTCGAGAGATCATTTTATAAAACTCGAAGATCGTTTTATAAGACTCGAGAGATCGTTTTATAAAACTCGAGAGATCATTTTATAAAACTCGAGAGATCGTTTTATAAAAACTCGAAGATCATTTTATAAAACTCGAAAGATCGTTTTATAAAAACTCGAAGGTCGTTTTATAAAAACTCGAAGGTCGTTTTATAAAACTCGAGAGATCGTTTTATAAAACTCGAGAGATCGTTTTATAAAAACTCGAAGATCGTTTTATAAAACTCGAGAGATCGTTTTATAAAACTCGAGAGATCGTTTTATAAAACTCGAGAGATCGTTTTATAAAACTCAAGAGATCGTTTTATAAAAACTCGAAGATCGTTTTATAAAACTCGAAGATCGTTTTATAAAAACTCGAAGATCGTTTTATAAAACTCGAGAGATCGTTTTATAAAACTCGAGGGATCGTTTTATAAAACTCAAGAGATCGTTTTATAAAAACTCGAAGATCGTTTTATAAAACTCGAGAGATCGTTTTATAAAAGCTCGAAGATCGTTTCATAAAACTCGAAGATCGTTTTATAAAACTCGAGAACTCGTTTTGCAAAACCGCGAAAAACCGAAACCGCCGCAGAACGCGAACTAGTCACGACTAGTTCGCCTGCTGGCGAACTAAGCCGAGCTGGCTTAGATCGCCAGCAGGCGAACTAGAAGGTTCCCGACTAGATCGCCTGCTGGCGATCT